TAAAAAAATTAACACCCACTAAACCTAGAAAGATTGTTTACCTTCCTCTAACCAAGTTCAGAGGAAGGTAAATAAACATTGAGAGGTTGGTGTGCATCAGTCACTGATTTAAAGACTGCTACCACAGCAGAACCCCGGAGTCCTGAGCAATTAAAACCAAGGAAAAATTACAGAAAGCAGAGTAGGTTTATTTTTAAAGTCTCCAAGGAGTAACAGAAAACATTCCCTTTGTTAAATATGTCTTAAATTTAAAGCAAGGCAAATAATCCATACTTATAACAACCTACCTTGGGATCTTTTTGCCTTCTTCTTTCTCCCTCTTGGCATAATTTGAGCTGCTCTCATGCCTTCTAATGAGCTGTCTCCCAGTTGGAAATGGCAACTTTTATAGCTTTTCCCAAAAACCCATGTTCAGACTGTCTTATGAAATACTCTAATCATCAGTACTTGTTCTGTAAGCTGCGTGGTGGATGGAATATATTGTAAGGAGGTAATGTCTTGTTGATTGGAAAGAAAAGAAAAATCAAGGTATTAATTTCTGCTCTCTTCCTTTCTCATACTTTCAGTTAGCCCTGTGACTGGAAAGCTTCTCTGAACACTCAGGCAACAAATGCTTGCTGATCTGTGACATAAGAATTTTTTTGTTTGTTTGTTTCATGTTCCAAACCAGAAGGATTTGCTTTCCCTTTGTGTTTTGTTGCCACTTAAATACATATTTTTTCTCCCTTGAACAGTAACTGGGCAGCTGTGAGTAATGCAAAATGTACCTGCATATTTTCAGGGCTGTATGTGTGTCTGTATCCTATCTTTACATTTCAACAGCTAAAGTTTTAAAAGCTCTGCTGTGGGGAATATTCCCTTTTCAAGTTCTGTATGAGGAAAAAAAAGCCTTTATTATAGGCAAAAGTTTTTCATGGATTAGAAATTGTAGTAGCCAAGAATTCTAATTTTGAATCCATAGTCACTTCAATCATCATTTAAGTGATTGGATATTTACTGATATTTATACTCAATCTTAAGCTTTTTTTTTTTTTTTTTTTTTTT